TGTGTATGTGTATGCTGACACTTTTTATTTGTGAAAGGCGTACTCCAATTCGGGTAGCTCTCTTGCAGCTGGGCATTGAATACCTACGTTCTGGATTACGAGTAGTACGCTCTACTGTATTTCGTTTACGATGAAAATGAACAGGAACTGCAAAGGAGTGCAGGTTTGATGTTCAGCGTATTTAGTTCTTTGTTGGCTTTACACGACCAGAGGTATGTGATGACAGTGACCTCAGTAGGTTAATGTGCTTCTGGGGTAATCCTTTTCGAAGAACGCAGCCCATCGGAGGTTCGCGTTCCACCTAATCGAAGGTTCCTTTCAGATCAAGGAACACTGCGGTCGTTGTCCATCGGTGAGTGTGACGCAGCTCAAGGAGCAGACGCAATGTAAAAATCTGATCAATACATTCACGATCAGGTCGGAATCCCGCTTGATGTTCACAGATGTTAGTGTCTCTTAAAGGCGTCAGACGTCGAAGTATGACCGAAGCTGGGACTTGGTGACGATCGAGATCAACTTATCCCGCGGTGGTTTTCCAATCGTTGCGGGATCCTTTCTTGAAAATGGGAACGGTCAGTGATTCGCCGCAAGATGAAGGAGTGTGTTTCTTCGTCCAAATTTTGTGCAGTANTAGGGTAGTATTAGATGTTACGAGGTTAGCTCCTCCCATCTTGAAACGAGTAGGTTGGAGCTCATCAGGTCCTGCTGCCTTTTCTCGCTTCAGAGCTTGAATGCAAGACCGAACTTCTTCTTCCGTTGGAAGATCGTATGACACTGCCCACGGAGCTTCATCCTGGTTATCACTAGGCCAGCTGAAGTATTCTGCCCAGCGATCGAGTCGTTGATCCCTATTGTGAATAGCTCGTTTCCTCTTATCGCAGACTGTTTCACTAATTGGAGTTCGCCGACCTCCCGTCGGAGCAGTCTTTGATTATTCCCTGATGCAACTGCTACTTCCATTTCACTAGCTATTGTTGCCCACCAGTTCTCACGATCTTTCCTGAGCCGACGTTGTAGCTGCCACCTAACTCTATTTTGATCCTGGCAGGTCGGGACTTGTCGTTTTTGTTTCATCACGCCTACTGACTCCTGAGATATCCAATGCCTCTAACGGGTTTGAGGCTCAGACCCACAAGCAACATTCGCTACGGAATGCATTGCTCGTCTACATCGCCACGCTGAAGCGCACTAGCTCTGACTCATAGTGTACGAACTGCTGGAGCAGATAGTCGATGGTGAGCTATCCGAGTTTGTTGGTTCTATCGCCGATCAGTCAGTCGGAGATTGAGCTGCATCAAAACTAATGCGTGGTCAGACTCAACGCAGGTGGTCCAATAAGACCTGCAATTTTGCACTGAGGCACACCAACGGTAACTTACTGCTATGTGGTCGATTTGAGTTAACGAACCAGTTGAACTGGACTGCCACGTTGCCGTCCGTCGAGCGCTGTGTCGGAAGTTCGTGCTTAATAAGAACAGATGATGGTCGGCGCAGAACTGAAGAAGTCGGTCACCGTTATCTGTTCGTTTGCAGGGCAGAGCACAACTACCGCCTAGGCAAGCTAAGTGGATACAGATGCCTGTGTTCGACAGTGGTCCTACATGATCAAGACAAAACTAAAACACTCCGGACTGATACGAAACGGCAGCGGGAACATGACTGTTGTCGGTTTGCTGTACTGTACTTCGTTGTTTGAACTTAGTCACAGTGGTGGCCAAGTGGTTAAGTCACCAACTGGCGACCTGGGAGTTCCGGGTTCGAACAGCTCCACCACCGCCC